GTGTGAATATATTATAATCATAGTCAAACATGACATTCATGGTTAAGGTCTGACGTTTGAGATCCAAATCGATACTTTGTCACTTCTTTTTAATATGCCAAAATGAGGTGATTACACCCGTCATCCTTTCACAACACTGTGTGGAGATTTTACTTGCGCTCCAAACACCACCATACTGAACCCAACCAGTAGATCCCTTCTGGAGCTCCTTGCTGCGACTGCAGACACGTCAAAATAGATAACTTATCATTTGAAACGAAATATTTTCAGATGACATATTTTCATTGAGAAATGTTTGTGCACGTCTGTTTGACACCTTTGTGTGTCGAACGAGCTCCTTGACACTCTGTAGGGATTAGAGTTCCTTGACGAAGTTGAAGAAAAGGTTCAGCTGGAGCCACCGGCGCCGAGACGGATGACTAAGGCACGCTCTTTTTCCGCTAAAATACCCAGAAGGAAATTAGTACGTACCACCAGCTTCTTTTAATGTGTCTTAAGAGGACACCGCGCCACCGAGAGCCAAAGTATGGTAGTCTTGAGGGGGCATAATCCGATATGTCGCGAAGAGCTCATTCAACTGACGGTGTGGAAGTAAATCTAACGGCGAGACGGAATATTTTCTGCTTTGTTTTAAGGGACATTAAGGACGTTTTATATTATATACGTCCAAACAGCTGAGACTACGGGGACATTACATCCGGGAAAGGAAAAAGGGGCTTAGGAGCGTGAAAATGTGGCCGTCCATTTTTTCCATTTGTGAAGATTTGATAACGGACGTCATCCCAACAGACTAATGGGCTAGTTATCGTACAGTATATATGTTCTTTTATTTAATAATGTCAGTCTTCAATAGTTGCCATATGGCGGAAATAATGCCGACGAGAGGTTACATGTTTAACCCACTCACGTCATTCAGGTCCAGCGGTATAATTTCTAAAATCGATATACCCCATATCCCCATGACCCGACCACATAGATACCGAGAAAGGTTCTGAAATAAACACACTCACTAATGCACCCGCTTCACTCAAATGCAAAAAGACGAATCTATTTGCTGATCTCTGAGACCCGTGAAGACCCGGGTTAGAATTGGTCCTCAGCAACCAATGCTTGTCGTAAGAGGCGACTTACGGGATTGGATGGTCAGGCTCGCTGACTTGGTTGACACATGTCATCGTATCGACATGCGTAGATTAAGGCTCACGCTGTTGATCACTGGTTTGTCTGGTCTGGCTTATTTACAGACCGCCGCTATATAGCTTGAGTAGCGCTGCGTGTGGCGTTAAACAACAAACAAATAAAATATAAGCTGATCTTTGCGTAATGACATTAGGTGACTTTATAGCATCCCCAATGGGGTAGGTGGAGTGAGTGAGTATGGTTTTACGCCGCTTTTAACAATATTCCAGCAATATCACGGCGGGGGACACCAGAAATGGGCTTCGGCGTAGGTGAACCTGTTGATTAACAATCCCCATTTCGGTGCGCGGATTTGCCTCCCCTAGTTATCCCAGAAACCGATGATTGTGGATTTGAATGCCGCTCTGCTCTGATCATGTGCCACTGTTTGTCACACAAGCGGAACACGTTTAAGATATACACCATTTCAGGCTTTCCTCTTTCATTGGCCTTAAATTCAGAACTGTTGCCATGTCCTTGCACGTGTTTGTGATGGGTGCCAGCAGGGTGCAGGGTTCGATTGCCTTTTCGGGAACACATGCTTTGACTATTTTAAGGTGATTCCTAAACACTTACTAATAATTAAGTCGCAATCGTACAACGGATTTATAATTATGGAGGGTCGGTGTGGTAGCCTTGTGGATAAAGCGTTCGCTCGTCACGCCGAAGATCCGGGTTCGATTCCCCACATGGGTACAATGTGTAAAGGTCATTTATGGTGACCCCTGCCGTGATATTGCTGGAACATTGCTAAAAGCGGCTTAAAACCATACTCACTCACTCACGTCACACTTCATCACCCGCTGAGTTAACATCGTGATTAATGTGAACGCGCTCAACTGAAAAACGATATGATGCAGACATGTGTGTGAACAGACCGTCCATACTTAACTTCCTTCTACCGAATAAAAAAAATAAAATTTCAAAGATACTGGCGTGTTGAAAGCTGAGATGTAATCTATTTCAGGCAACGAGTGTCGAAACGAGAACCGCCCGAGAAGCTCGTGCTAACTGGGATACGGACGGAGAACAACCCGAGAAGCTCGTGCTAAATGGGATACGGACGGAGAACAAGCCGAGAAGCTCGTGCTAGATGGAAGCCGCACCTGCACCGATGCATTACGTTCATAACAAGCAAAACGAAGAAATGAGGCGATGGGAATGAGAGAAAGAATTGATGGAGAGGGAGAGAGAGATTATGACCATGTTGATTATCTTAAAGATTGCGTTTTCTTCCAATCCAACTGTTCGCTAAGCGATATGAAACGATTCGTAGAAACCTAAGTACCTTTAAGTGCTCTGAATGAAAGAGAGACTGTGTTCCTAATTGACCCCGTGCTCGATCACTAGGCCTGATCATTTATCGGAGACAGTGTGTGACTAGCCGAAATACCAGCTCGTCTAATCGAACACACCTTTCAACGTGTCTGAAGAGGCCAAGTAGGGGAATGGTGGCACCGCGATTATTCGATTCCACTGAAAGACAGCTTCATCTGAAGATGATGACGATCGTGAGATGTCTTGTCCCAACAGCACCTTCTGCCATCTTCGAGAGCATTACCGAGTTCATATGTAACACACGTTAATTTTCTCCTTGTGTTTTAAAACGCTTTCATATTATTTTAAATTCTTAACCCCAGTGTCAGTTAAAAGTTAACGCAAGCCTCAGTTCTGCCATAGAGCGAAGAGGCCGAGTTCTATGGAGACAAACAATGGAGAAATGCCTAGCTTGGGGACTGGGAGCTTCATTTGAAACCTGCTGGATGCAAAACCACCATTTGGATTTCAGCGCGCGCGTTTGTGTGCGTGTGCGTGTGCGTGTGCGTGTGCATGCATGTGCATGTGCGAATCCCAAAGTCAACAGAACAGTCTTTTTAATCCCTTATCACCGAGTGCATGGCAATCAAACAAGTAAAATCGTCTGTCGATTTCCGTGTTAAAACAGTAAGTTAACCCAGAAAAAAAACGCCGTAAAACCCATGGACAGAGAGAAGCTGTCTCGCAGATCTATCTATCTATCTATCTATACTGAATATTTTAGTCACAGCTTCAAACTCGTATACTTTTTTTCAATTATGGGCCAAACTATTTTCAAGGTTTTCTTTTTGGCCCCCTGCCCCACATTTACATATTTTAAATCCGCACCTTAATATAGTGTATAATACAATACCATCCTTTTGTTCCCAGCGCGACAACAGGTTGTACTGTCAACGGACAATTTGTGTTCTGTGGCGAATGTCTTTGGTGAGATGGACATTTCTGAATCGTGGAGTTAAATAGAGATGAATCTGAATCGTTTTAGAAAGTTGATTAGTTAAAAACCGAAACAGCCTTCATCTGTATTGTCACAATCGCCATCAAAGTTTACCAAACCAGACTTTGGTGAGACATTGAAGGGATGCAACTCTGAAACAGCGAATATGTTGGAACACTGTAAAACCTTACCGTAATTTTTACGGTAAAGTTCGGCAGCCATGCTGCCAGTATTTATGCCGTAAATTTTACGGTAAACCGTAACGATGACTACCGTAAATAATACGGCAAAAGTTCGGCAGCCGTGCTGCCAGTAATTATACCGTAAATAATACGGAAGACCGTAACAATGACTACCGTAAATAATACGGTAAATGTTCAGTGAGTGTTTCCAGATTATGTATGCTGCAATCATGAATGGTGTAAAAAATACCACATATGATTACCATAAACAAATGAGCCATAAAGGCGATAGTGAACAGTAACATAATGCAAAAACCAATAAAGTGTTCTGTAATAACAAATTACTGATATATGATTTTTCTTCTGAAAACACACACTTAAAATATGGTGTTTAATGTCTCAAAATCCATAAAACATAAAACCATGTCAGTGCAGATGTTTATTTTTATTAACTCATTAATGATGAACACCACAACTGTGAAGTAGCTTACTACTGGACCATGCATAATTTATGGACATTCCCATATTTCTTAGCAAAAACTTAAAAGTCTTTCACATTTCACCACCCCTCCAAACGTGGGATCCTTATGATCGTCATCAAACTAAGCCATATATTATGAATGGTCCCTAGACTTGACAGTACAAATCAGACCCATTCTGTCAAGTAGGTACAGGTGTGACAAAAACATGAACAGGTTTGCTGTTAAGTTTAAAAGTCACCTGATCATCTATTATTTCACAGGAACATGTGAAAATACAACTAAATCTGGAAGTAATTAACCAAAAAACTCAAAATTTAGTCTTGTAGCTTGTTATATTCTCAAAACAATATCCTGTCTAATTATAAGGCAATGAAATCAGCACAAAACATGAAACTCTGATCTTGAAAGAAAGCAAACTCTCCTGATGCTTTAAAACCTAGCAAAGCCTGACAATTAAGGATATGTTCAAACGAAATGTTTAAAACCTTCTCAGGAAGTTAACATGAAAAGAATATTTATCAACAGCTCCACTTAGTTGTCAGCAGTTTTGCATGGAACACATTCAAATAATACCTAAAATGTGAAAAAAACATTACTAGTCATATGAAATTGTTACAAACACCAAATTCCAGTTTATATCTCCACAGAATGCATAATATCTATCCTGCAAAATGGCAAGTTACATAAAAGTATCACTTCTCTACAGAATAATGAACATGTGTATCATGTTTTTTAATGATAGCTCACAGCATATCCTATAGTACTGCTACAATTCCAATGTAGGAAATATTTAATATTTATTTAAAAGTCACCTGATCATCTATTATTTCACAGGAACATGTGAAAATGCAACTAAATCTGGAAGTAATTAACCAAAAATTCAAAATTTAGTCTTGTAGCTTGTTATATTCTCAAAACAATATCCTGTCTAATAATAAGGCAATGAAATCAGCACAAAACATGAAACTCTGATCTTGAAAGAAAGCAAACTCTCCTGATGCTTTAAAACCTAGCAAAGCCTGACAATTAAGGATATGTTCAAACGCAATGTTTAAAACCTTCTCAGGAAGTTAACATGAAAAGAATATTTATCAACAGCTCCACTTAGTTGTCAGCAGTTTTGCATGGAACACATTCAAATAATACCTAAAATGTGAAAAAAACATTACTAGTCATATGAAATTGTTACAAACACCAAATTCCAGTTTATATCTCCACAGAATGCATAATATCTATCCTGCAAAATGGCAAGTTACATAAAAGTATCACTTCTCTACAGAATAATGAACATGTGTATCATGTTTTTTAATGATAGCTCACAGCATATCCTATAGTACTGCTACAATTCCAATGTAGGAAATATTTAATATTTAAGAACTAAGGGTAAACTAATAATCAAAAAGCATGTCTCTCCATTTTATATATTTTCAAGTATAGAACAATTACATATAAAAGCTATATGAACCTCTATGCCAATGTTGAATGTATGACCTTCATTAACTATAATTTTAGTTCCAGTCCAGAAATAATCCGTGAAAATAGAGCTGACAAATGGATGGACACACTGAATCCCTTCTGTATCTTTGTCCAATAATGTAGTGATGTGGTATGGTTTAAAGACAGTCATCATAATCACCCTGTGAATATAGTTATATAAATGAAAATATATACTGGCAAAAATAATATTGATAAAAAGTGTTAAATGAATTCAATAGGCGGTTTTCCCTATCTTCACAAAATATTGCCTGAGGCTGACAAAACATCCAATATTTTACACAACACTTTCAAAAAGTGAGTCATGGTTACTCCTCACTGATTCTATATTCATACTTATTACAAACAAGTGTGACAAGCTAGAACAATACGATTAACTTACTTATAATACTGCCATACTTGCTGTTTAAAAGAACAGCAATATTTCACTAAGATGTGTAACATGAAAACTGAAATGCATTCCCTCATTCAAAACATGAACAGTAACTGTGTTTGTAACATTAACTAGAATCATGAACTGACATACATGGGACAGTTTCTTTTTATAAAATAATAATAATGAACCAAAACAGCTCAGGAACAATTTACACCTATAGCCTCATGACGTTGACATTAATAACATAACTAGATAAAGTCTTCAAAGTTTGATCAAATAAAAAGCCATCTGGTTAGCATATCATTTAATACTGCCAGTGATGTAGCCATGTCAGTTAAATACCAGTTTTTATCTTCAGATTGAGAGATTTATGAACAGGACAAGTCTCGAAGACACTGGTACATTAATCCCATAACAACAGAGAGAAAACATTTTATTGTGATCACCTTTCATTGAAACAGTTCAATCATGTAAGATTTAAATCACATTCAGTGTAACTGAATTTTCCCATAACTGTTGCTCAACATATGTTCAGGATTTCACAAAAACATTTTGTCCAAATCAAACAGTAGAAGAAATTGTAAAGACAAGGAAAAAAGTGAGCAGCTTATGTATATCTCTTGCTCTTGGAGTCAACACTTGGAGTCAATACTCATATTAACGAATGAGGTTACCATGATTAATACATTTCCATACTAAAGAAAAGTCACATCTGCAACTTAATATTATTGAAGCAATATATTTAGGAATTCAGATATGCCAGGAGCAAGAAATTTGTTCCAAAAAAAAGAAACTTGCATTAAACATGAAGTGAAACATCACATCTTTTTTCATGTTTTGTCAGTAACAAAACATGATGGATGAATGGACAGGTAACTTAGCCAAGACACTTGAATGCGTACAAGTCCTCACAATCATACATCCATCCACTCGAAATCAGCCAAGTCGTTCACCAGTCTTAACACTTTAGCTGCAATCTGACGTTTCTTCTTTTTCCCTTTGTTTCCTTTCGAACCTTTGTCTGGATTTATCAGGATGAAACATCTGCAACATGGAAAGAATACAGGCCTCAATTTTAGAGATGATAACCTACTTGCACCAGGTGCAACCTGCAACAAAAACTAGTTGCATAAACCAAATTCAAGTTGCACTGCTTTTACTGTAGTATGTAATATGCTAGTGAATTACTGGGATGTTTTCAGTCTAACATAATGCAACCAATTCCTGTTGTTCTTTTTTTCCATTCTTTTAAATTTGTAAGTCTCAACTTTTTAGCATTGCTTGTCATTGGATTCACCTCTATGATGACAGTGTGCCAAAACGTCAGAGTATTCAGTGCAATGAAACATATTTCAGTAAAGTAGTAATGAAGCGATAGCAACACACCCACACAACTGTCATAAGATGAAAGTTGTCACTGCTAATCAATGTTTAGAAGAAAAGGACCGGACATAATTATACTTGTAATGTTTATAGATTTCTCCTAGATGGATTTCTCAAACATTGAGTTGCAACTGTAGCAAGTTAGACTAATAACTAGGTTGCACTTTGCAATATTAGGCTAAACCAGTGCAAATAACAAAGCACTAAATCGATCCCTGGAATACATTTCTATAGCTGGTTAAATATATCAATCAGAAGGGCATATTAGTCATGTTACTGAAAAAATAAAGACATCCTCAGGTTTTTATGGCTTATTACTCACCTGAACAACCAGAAACATATTTTTGGCACCTCCTCATAACTCATATGCTGTCAGGGATTGGGATAAAGAAGTTTGACAATTGGCCATATTCAGGATTTTTTGCCATTTTCTGAATTTAGAATGGGCCACTGCCCTGCCCAATAACAAACTTCAAAATTTTAATGGGCCATTTTTATTCTGATGTGCAGAATGGTCCATTGCCCCTGCCTTTCTCAATCCCTGTATTATTTATATTTTGTATTCAGTTCTTGGATAGATTTTAGTGCTCTCACAGGTTATTATGTGGTGGTGTGTGGTCCTGTGCATAGTGGTCAGATCACAAATCAGGTGAAGTTAAGCAACGTCAACTCGGAGAGTTCTTGGATGGATGACCATGTTCGGCAACTTAACTCCTGAGAGTTTCTAGGACTACAGTCCTGCCCCACAACGAAGCACATAGCTTGGGTTATCTGGCTTAATAATAATAGGATTGTAGCGCTTTGAGCATGCCCCTCTGTGATGTGGAATTCAGTGCATTACAAATACCCATACTATTATTCTTATTATTAGTTTACATGGATTTTTAGAAAATCAGAAAATCTCAATATTTAAAGTACACATCTACACTTCGGCAAGAGTGACTGATGTCTATCTAGAGGCTGTCACTTGAAAAATCGATAAAACAGAAATACCTTTGAATAAATTCAAGAGTTGCTGATGTTCCTGAGGGGTACTCCAGGTTGAAAACATAAAACGATGCGAAGTAGGACGAGAGGGCATCAATAAAGCTGTCAATGGTATTGGTCACCACAGTTCCATCAACAATGAGGACGTATGACTTGCCAGCCATAATCGAGTCACCTGAAGGATGGTTAAAAAAAACAACATCAGCCAATAACAAACAAAATGACATTAAACAGCATATCCATAAATATGTTACCAATCATTAACTTTTTAGTTATGTAGTCAGTTCTTAGTAATCCAACACTTGGAAAGAAATAAGCTAGATTCTCAAAAAAAGTTAAAATGAAAAGGGTAATAACTATTACTGGTAAGCCTGAATGTATCATATTCAGATCAATGGGAGTTTTGGTTTTGTCCTTGAATGTCAGATTGATAAGAGCTGGCAGAAGACTGGGACTAATCCTCACCCTGAAGGACTCTCATAATACTTGCCTAGTACTACCAGCATTGGATCTTCTTTCTTGACAGACTGTTCAATTTCGCCAACAGAGGCAGCTTCCTAAAAAAGTGAAGTGACAGTTGCCATGAAAATATCCACATGTGTCATAGCAAATTATCTGTTAAAGGTAGGAAGGTAAGGCAGATTGATTCATTTTGATGGATTTACAATAATTCTGAAAGTTGCAAGTATGATAAATATACACTGAACATCAAAAGAAACGCAACACTGTTTTTTATGGTCAAGTTTTTAAATAGACGACATAAACATGAACGCTTACTTTCATGAAATTTACATTTTTTTGAAAGTTGCGTTTCTTTTGGTGTTCAGTATATTACCATGATTATATATACATACATCAACAACATGGAACATATCTTCCTCTTTTTCTCCAAAATGGTCCATGATGCACAACACAACAGCCATCAACCATGACTTCAGATTGTCCATATTGCTTTGAATCATGGCCTCCTCGAAATACATGCTACACTTTGAATTTTTAGACTTGACACTACTGCTCCGAAAGAAACTGTTTAACCGACTTGCTTTTGTTTTGTAGGCATTACAAATGGCATCTCTCACATCAACATCTAACAGCTCCCTGGCATGACTCTGAAGACTTCTTGCATTAAAGAGATAAGGCCACTGGACCTTTAGGTTTCTTATTGAAGTGCCCCTGTTGATGTCTGTTCTCTGCAAGGGATATGTAGAAGTCATCAACTGGTCAATCTTTGATGTCTCCTTTTCATTTGAAGAAAACATTTCTTTCAAGATATCTCTTGCCTCTTCCATTGTTCTCAATTCCTGTTCACTTTCAATGGGTGGACTCCACTTAACACAACCATATGAGTCTTTCTGTTCACACTTTGTCTGTTTACTCTTTGTACTGTTGTTGTCATCACTGTCACTAACATCCGTTCCATAAATGTGATCAATGCGACGCTTTTTAGAAGACAAAACAAGTCTGGTTGCACTCTTAGGGCGATTACAGTTTTCATTCCTCCCTAACATCTTGTCAAGCAGAGTCTGATATCCAGAACCAAAAACTGTACCATCAATCCGATCTTCCAAACTGTCAGGAAATTTAGCAACCATCCGCTGTGCAATAATCCCAAGTTGGTGTTTAGAGGCATGTTCTGTTGTCTTCCTAACTGCATCTACAGTTTTATTTACAAGTTCCTTCTTGGCAGTTGGTGACAAACGTTTGCCTTCCTGAAGGGCCCTACAAACATCACGACCCATGTTATCCCATGGAATTTCCAGTTTCAGAGGCCAATTTGGATCCCTGTTGATATTTTGTACAGTAATTGGTGGAGGAGTTTTGGGCGAAAACGACACTGGTGACAGAGAAGGACTTGATAATGATGATAAAGAAACAGAACTGCTTCCAGATGGGGCTGAAATTAATAAAGTATTATTTCTTAAAGTATTATACTTATCTCTGCAAAACTTAAAAGACAAACAAACTCCATAACATTGCTTCATGAATTTGATCTCAATGATCTGTGCATTTGACATATGACAGGCAACCGTTTGGGTTTTTTATCAGTTTCATAATAGATAAAATTGGAAAGCCAGGGTGGCGCAAACTATTCAGTTGTATATTTTCAGTCACATTCACAGCTGATAAAATAAAATGGTACAAGCACGAAATCTGTTTTTGGCATAATATAAGATATAGATAAACATCATAAAGATGGTAACTGGAATTAAATCTATTTTGAGAGTGAAAATCATACACACACAGTGTAAATTGGTTGTCATTTAAGAAAAATGTTTTTAACCTGTCATTTAAGTTTTAACAGTTTCACTGTGACATCTGGATAAAAAATGGATGTTTTAAAAGTACAACAGAGTATCTTATGATGAACAAACAGCTAAACATGTATAAGACCTCTCTAAATATTTATTTTGATAATTTATTTTGGTTTGTTTTTCTCACAAGCACCTGTGATTTGCATCTAGAATTAAATTGGTACATAAATAAAGTGGTAAATTATATTTTCAGCGAAATAGATATAGGGTGAAATTTAATAAATGTGTCATTAACAGGACAAAAACCGGGATACCATAATAGATAAAAAAATTGATGTATTGATACTTTCCTGATACAATAAGATTCATGATACTGATTTCTTGGCATTGATGTGCCAACTATCAGAATATTAGTTTAAGTTTAAATCCTACAAGTGAGTGAGCGAGTTCAGTTTTATGCCACTTTAAGCAATATTCCAGTAAGATCACAGCACGGGGCACAAGCTAAAAGACTAGCACACATCATCCAAAAGGTCTCCAGAAAGCTACTGCAATACATATCAACATACGATGCGGTACCTCAGTGTTTGCCATGGACATGAACTTTAGCCAAGACATCAACTGTGATGTGTTTAATAACAACAAAAAGGGTAAAGCAGGTCAGGTATGTAATCAGTACTGAGCAGTTCATTGGCAAACAATAAACTAAGTAGGTTTAAACAACACCAAATTATAGTTTTTGTACACGTCTAGATGATCTGAACTTAGGGCCAAGTAGCATTTCGTCAACAATGACACAAGCCTTTAATTAAATACACTGCGTATTTGAGACAGATTGTGCGTCAAATACGCAGGTTTTCTGCGTCAGGGCAAACACTGAGTACCTGTATCCAGTGAACCAATAACAGTAACAGAACTTACCCAACTTCGCCTTGTAGCCTCTCAGTAATTTCCTGACCAGAACAGGTTTGATAGTGCCCTTAAAATCCTCTTCTTCAACCCACTGAAGGTCATCAACAGAAGTCACTCCAAGTTTCATTAACTCACTCAGCACATCTGATAGAATATTCTCCTCAATATTTCCAAAGAGAAACAGTAAGTCTTTTTCTCAATTGTCTGCAATGAGTGTCATTGTCTTTCTCTTCCATGATTTTCAGACACCAACTGTTTTAGAGACAAGTAAAATATACCAGACTCCTGGTATACAGCTACTGGGTAGGGATCTGCAAGGTGATATACAGATATGCATATCATATTGCCATCAGCCTCCTTTTCAAATGCATAAAGATCCATATCAGGAACATGCAAACATGTTGTCAGGGACATTAACAAATAAACATCACTTCCCTTGATAAATATGCTCTGTACCCTTCCAATCGTAAGTTCAACTGACCTAGGCTTGTTAACAATTAAGACACTACCAATTTTGTACTCAATTCCTTTATGACATATTTTCATAGTACTGTGTGTATTTAAGCTGTTTAAAGCACAATGAAGTAATGCCTCTTTTACTTCAGATGAATACATGTTTGGGTTAAATGGCAACAAATGCTCTACTTGCAACTCACAAGCAAAAATATCCCCTGAATTATACAAGGCTTGTAACAACTGATGTTTTCTAGCAAGAGTTTTGGGTAAAGTTTTGTAATTTTGTAATTTTCTTACACATTTTTTGAAATATGAATGTTTACTTTCAAATCTTAGCGTCCAAAGCCTAATTAGAGGGCCAAATTTGATGATTAACCCAGGGTAGTGAGACATGAAGTGGTGTTTTGGCCTTAGAGATTTGGTTGGAAAAAGACGAAATCTCTCATGTAGGTAGTCTTCTATAAGACTGCTTAAAGTTGCAATGTTTGCAAAATCTAAGGTCTGACTGACAACAATTTCAACAATCTTTTTCATCAACAAGTACAGATTCCAAACACTATCATCAGTATTAGAAATGTATTTTCCAACAAGTAATGAAAAGAGTCTGACAAATATCCAGTTCTGAACTGCATGTCCTTGAAGCCTCTCTGAATTTAGAGAAACAATACATGGTTTGTCTGATGCATCATTGCCAACATACTCAAATCTTGTGATGCGTCTGTTAAGCTGATCAATTGTGAACCACTGCTTTTCTTCAATCAAGTAATCAATGATTAACATTAAATCATACGGCACAATGCCCTCAAAAAGATCATGACCTATACAAGGAGGCAATCCGTCAACAACATGAAAATGCTGAAGCTGATTTAAAACAGAATCACATTTTATGCCATTGTGATTTTGCACATTTTCAGAAGTGACAACATCAATGCTTTCTCTATAGTTTTCAATAGATCTGTTTACACCTTTTGTTCCATAACCATTCTCAAGACAACCTTTTCTAGTAGCTAGACAGTATCGACAGAAGTACTGACCTGTGAAACTTTCAATAAATCCACCTATCATATGTGATCCAAGGTTATCTCCTAATACACAACACAAGGAACCTTTGACAAACATACCATTGCCAACATCAATCCCAGTGTTTTCTAACTGTAAAAGATCTTTCAGAAGAGGACTAAATATACTTTCAGTTCCAAAGGTTTTCAAGTCCTTTTCTCTACATAATATCACTAATTGCATGTGATCAATAACTGATCGCTTATGTGCATGAAAATTGGCCAAAGTGAAATACACTCCAATCAACTTGTGCTTTCTCTTTGCCGAGCCAAGGGGATTTACCACCTCAAAGGCATCTTGATAGAGAATTATTTGAAATGCACTTTTAAAACTCTGGAAAAATTTACTGTTCCTAAAAACTGAGCCTTGATGAATATCATTCAAATCATGTTTGTCAGCAGTAATTTCTTTGTTTACTTGATCTGAATCATGAATATGTTTCTTATGAAATGTATACAAAGAATGCAAAGTTTTGAGAATAGAAACATACTGAAAGGTTAATTCTAATCCCCCCAACTTCATCTTTACCCAAAACTTTCTCCTCAGGTTCAATGTAAGGGAAATATTTTGAATAAAAGCTTGACCTAACTTTACTGGACCTCAGCGGCCCTTTGTTACAGTTAGAAAACAGATCATACTTTTGAAAGTCATCCTGAACATGTTCAATAATATTTTCTTGCACTCCATTAAATTTCAATCTTTCTGTTACATGTCTCAAAATAACAGATTCACTTATTTCATGCAATGACTGTATATCACTTATGATGCTCTGAATAAGTGAAGCAGGCATCAAGTCCTTGGCTTCTAACTTTAAGTAGAATTGAGCCACATTCTTCAAATATGTATCCTCAATGTTACTTTCGTCATAGTCACAGTCAGAATCTGAACTTAAATCACCATTGTGTTGGCTTGATGTATCAATACTAGATGAATTTTGGTCTACACTTTCTTCACAAACTTGCGTGGCTTCGTTACCTATTTCCTGGTTGGGAATCGAATATATATAGTCACAAGACAGAAGATTTGCAGTTTGAAGCTGATGCTTTCTTGAGAGATGTGATGAGAAGGACGATATTTTGCTGAATTGTGAGATGCAAGATCTAAACGGACAGTCAATAGTCTCTATTTCGTATGTGTTGCCGTAAGTGTTTGAGCAGCTCATTTACTGTTTTAAAGGTATGGTCACAGTTGTGTCTACAAATCAGCACTATGCCCAATATTTCACTTGAACCGCTACGGACATGCCTTGTACTTTGCGCGGAGTAGCCAAACTTCTTGTGATCACGTAAAACGTGTGCACGAAATGCAGAATAAGTGCGAAATGTCCTTACACAATTTTCATTACAGCATGGAAATTGCAAATTTGGTACATTTTGATGAATTTGATAATGCCTCACATAATGCCTCAAAGAAACGGTTCCAAAAAGACAATGCTGACACGAATACATGTTCGATGTACAAAGCCTAGTTCCCTCACTATCCACATCGTTAGATATCTCAGCACAATAAGTAAGTGCAATGAAGATAATGAAAATGATCCTTGAATATAACATTATCTACATGATGCGTTGTCTTTGTTTATACCTTCGAAGGTAGAGAGGATGCGACTGATCCACGTTTCCTCACTTCCGTCTCCTGCTAGTGCTAAAAATGGCGCCCTTCAAAGTTTAGACCCACAATTCTTTTCGGTTTACGGTCAGTTCCGTAATTATGCCTTCCGTGTCGACAAAACGGTAAACTACCGTCACGATCACAATTTTTACGGTATTATAATGTTATTTCTTGAAACGGCAATAAACCGGTTGGGATTTACGGAAGAATTCAGTAAAATTTACGGAAAAGGTTTACAGTGTGTGTTACGAATTATACGAAACTCGTGACCTTCCTATGTTATCTAACCTCGCTTTCGCTCGGTCAGATACCATAGGAAGGACACTCGTTTCGTATAATTCGTATGTAATGAGACCTCGTGTAGTATTCTCTATTTATTACTCACCCGTTGAAGATATCACTGTTTAATAATTTTACAATGTTATTACACATTGTGTAATAACATCACGTGATGCCGTACGTATGACGTCAAAGTGGTTTACAGTTATGACGTCACAATGCTCATCCCTCTGTCACAATAGTATTAGACTCGCGGAAAGCTGAGAGTCATCACACTCGTTGAATTCTTAGGAAAGAATTACTTTGCTCGATATTATTTTGTTAATGTCTGGTGAGTATTAAATAAAATACTAAACTATGTCCCGTCTAATACCATATTTACGAAACTCGTGAATGGTATTGATACCAAACCTTTCACTCGTTTCATAAATATAGTCACAGAGGCCGAGATAAGCTGCGTATCCTGGTAAAATACGCTTAGAATTACGCATTGAAAAAATAATTGTTGCGTACCATTTACGCATTTAAAATGTTAGATACGAAAAAAGTTTAAAACAAATGCGTACGGAATATATTTATAAAAATTGCTTGCGTAATGAAAAAGATATCGATTGCTATCAAGTTGTACTGTTAGTATAGGACAAGTGTTGTACTGTCAGTATAGGATGAGTGATTTTTTTCCATTATATTTAAGTTGGTTTTGATTAGGTATGACATAAGGCAGAACTTACCTGCTTAGTAAACTTACTCAATGACATAATACTTAGTTGAGTAAAGTGACTGAAATATGCACATATTTGAAAGCAGTGGGTAACCGAAAATGAAATACCCACTCAACATTCATAATACCCACTCCAAAAAAAAATCGTTGGGTACAGTACCCACATGAGCTAAATCTTATCTGGAGCTCTGAATAATAGTATTAGACGGGACATCGTTTAGTATTCTCTCTTTAGCAGATTCAGATGTGGTAATTATGCCGGAGCTGGCCGTTGAAACAGGTCGGTGGGGAGGACAGAATATGTAAAGATTGTTTTGATAATGTGAATGTATCTGCAGTTGAAGACGAAGTGCACTTTATTACTTCATGTCATTTATATAACAAGTTAAGAAACAGGTATTTACCAAGTGTTTGTACAAGCAATTTATGTAATGTAGAGAAAGCTATGACAGATAATACTGTCAGAATATTTAGTGCTGTAAATTCTGAAGTGCACACAAACCAGCCAGCTGTATGTGGACAGCTATGGAGGCTCCTACACACTTATTTCGAATTGACAGGAATCAAGGAGAATCAGACAAATATCTTTCCAAAATTCGAAACGCATTCGGGAGAGAATGTCAAAATAAACATTTTTTTTCAAGCTTCGTAAGAATGCTGTTGGAATACTTAGAACGCACTTCGAACCCGCCTCGAATGATTCTTACTCATTCCAAATGTACTAGATCACGAATGCTGCTCGAATGAATCGGAATACAGTGGGAATAATTAGAATGCTGTTAGAACACACTAAGAATACTTAAAATGAATTTCGACTGCCGTACGAGTCCGGTTCGATTGCTGCGTGAATAGCACTCGAATTTCAGTTGGAAAGTAACTCGAATGCTGTACGAATTTACATAGAATGCATTCAGAACCCTCTTGGAATGATGCCAGAATATGAATCATATGAAATGTTAAAGAATTAAAACAGAATGCAGCTCGAATATTTCAAATGTCCTTCAAATGCACGAATGTCTGAAATGCATCAATAATGCTGCCGG